AGGCATGTCACGAACACACTTGTTCCTCAATTCTCCCACAAACAGCTGCAGTCCAATGAGCGCCATGACAGCGAGGAAGAACAAAAACAAAACCAAGACATCGCTCAAGAGCTTCAGTGAACGGAGTAGCGTGTTCACCATCGCCCGGAGACCTAAAATATAAACAAGAAAGGGTATTATGGACCTGTATTGTTTCCAAATCAGACTGACTTGAATGTGATACCTTCATGAAACATGATGCACTACGTTAAAAATTGACTGGGGATTTTAAGACGATTCTATGTGTATCATTAAACGATTTTCAAATGTTATTAAAACCAGCAATTGTATTTCAAAATTAACGACACGTACTTAAACTACTAACAAACTAAGTTGTGTTTTGGACGAGATTATACCACACGATGTTTACAAAGAAAAATACAGAGGAAAAAGAAAAACAACAATGAAACTGTCAGGGCTATAAAGCTGAAAACTCCCCAGCCGAGGACAACAGCATGTGCTTTGGGCTGGCTTGTGATCAGCTATGAGCCTTGAGACCGAAGCAAATTTCCCATGAATCATGGAGGATGACACTCGCAGAGCATCTCTGTATCAGTGTGTGCTATAACTGACGGCGAATTATCGGGTCAGCTTGTCAAAATGACGGGAATAACATATGATTAGCTACAATGTGCTATCACCTCCTCTCTTTAGAGTGGTAAAACCCTTCGAGTCCTCAATGAGACATATGGACATTTCTACGATGTCCAGCGGGGCCTCATAGTCGCATCAGGCCTCCCCTAAGAGGTATATTGTACCTAAAATGACTTAGTCAAATCCAACTGACTTTTGTCATGAAATGTATCTTAACACACGTTAGCTCACAGACTCTGGTGGAATAACATAAGACACTCACCTGAAACAACAGAGATAGTCCTCAGAGCCCGCAGTACCCGTACCGTGCGGATGGCCGTGAAGCTCACAATGTTTGGAGCAATGGTTATGTACCTTCGAAATTAAAACAATTAGCAAATTTAGTGAGACTTATGGCAGATGAGACAGAAACACATTTATGCCGTGGCTGGAGGCGGGGATGGCAAGAACCTCCTCCCTATTGTAGAAACTACGTTGATTCGACAATTTCCGATGGGAAACTTGTTGTTGATCGATAAACAACTTAGAGTGCTAATGCTACTTCTTATTGGGCAATCGGTAATAATCGGAAATTCTTTGGGCAGCCTGCTAGATGATGATATGCCATTGAGCGAACGTGGCTCTTCTTCCACAAGTACCTTTGGTTACAGATTGGCGTAATCATTAGTCAGTAACATAGTGTAGAGAGTCTTTCCACCCGGCCAGGAGAATATATCGACCCTATTAAGTTGTTGGGGAACAAGAGGAGCCTGCGATGCGGTAGCATCTGATCTCAACATTCTCAAAATTATGGCAATTTCTTTAATCGTTTTATGGTACAACGAAAACCAAGGTAAATCACCAAGGAGGATTAGCTCTGTTTTAGATGAAGTATGTTTCAGTAAAAGGGCAATGGAAAAAATCAGCGCGGTACAAGGCCGTCGACAGCAACTGGCTGGGCAAGACACAAATTGAATACAGGCCTTGAGCAGTCCTTGCACTTACCCCAAAACGACGACAATGAAGTCCAGACAGTTCCAGGGATCTCTGAGGTAAGCGTAATTATGGAGAATAAATCCACGTGATATTATCTTTAAAATCATCTCCATTGTATATATTGCTGTAAACACGTACCTGCCATCAAAGAAACATACGCTTATGCTAAACTGCATAAAAAGCAATTCATCATGAAAACGACAATTGGGAAAGACAAGGTTTTCTTCCGGGTTAATACGACTAAGTACACTCAGCTATAAAGAAATGCTGGTTAATAAACAAAGGATGCCCAGAAAGTTGTTGCTTCGATTAGCCTTATCGTTAACATGACGCCAAGAATATTTCGGGCAGAAGCTACAAAATTACCTCACATATATGATAGAATATATAGTAATGCGAGTGAGGAAAGTTATCCGTGAGAAAGGCTACTGCAGTAATGTTTTGAATATCAATTCAAATTCTTCCAGCTCTTTCCTTTAGTAATCCGTCCTTCTACTCCCATGTTTTTTTATGTTCACTCAAACGAGATGGAGGCTAACTCGATAACCTTGCAGTTCTATCTGAGCCTCGATGCACAAACTATATACCATTGTCACCTTTAATTGTTAGATATGTATCTTTTTTTCTTTTTTATGCTAATATTGTAATTTCAGAATGTAAGTGCAAAATAAAATGAAGTTGAAGTTGAAGTTCAATAAAGAGGATATATCAACGGAATAGCCGTTTAAACCAGAAGCTACATCTATTTCTCTTTGCTTATAGGTATGCAGCGGGATTGACTTTGCTTTCACATTCGCTGATGCTGCAAACCGACGTAATACTACGTAATGATTTAGCACTTACTCGGCTTCCTCTGGTGGATCTTTAAACGCAAGAAACACACAGTTTATTAGTATCACCACGATCACAATCATCTCAAAATATCTTTAATCTCAAATTAAGGAAGAAACTATAAAGCGTTTGGTTCGTATTTATAGTATAAACAAAAACTAGTTTAGCCAGCACCTACAGACATGTATGACAGCTAATAGTGCCACAAATCAGTCAAAAGACAAAGAGAAAGCATGTAACCTGGAAACAGAGCATGAAAATTCTCTTGAGTCAAATCAGAATTATTTTGCTATTAATCAAAATAACGAATCTTCGTTCTGATTGGTTGCAGCACCAGTGCTCGAGATTCTCTTTGGTGGAACATAGACAATTCTACTTTGTAACTTAATTATTCCAAATACGCTTTATTGTAAGAAATAATGGACCGTTAACTAGGTTCCCGCGCGACGAAGCAAAAACCAAATTTTGCGTCTCCTTCAATTGACCTGATTGGTTGGAGTTGAGACCTCAACAAAAAATTATTGGAGAGCTACCTATAAATTAGTAGCTTTAACTAAAATTAGCTTTAACTATTTTGTTCCCCTTAGATGGATTTGGTTTTAAAGGATACTGGTTCGTGACGACACTGATAGTCCACCGTCTAAGAGGCTGCAGAGGTCCAAAGAGCCACAACGAACGTGCTTTGTTAAACCGAAACACGTGCTGAATACGGGATGTTGTCCCATACTGACGCAATACAAGAAAGGTGTCATCGGCAGGTATCTAAGTGACATAAAATAAATTATGGCAACCAATGTTTGAGGTTGCGTGTGTAATTATATGTAAAGTTATTTTACATGAGACAGTATACCGTTCCGTTACATGGACCAAATACTACAAAGTGCAAAACTTCAGGTGTAGGAAACTGGATTGACGAATAATCAAGGATCAGAATTGTCAAAAAACTATTTTTTTCCACTGGGAAACTGAAGAGCCTTTTGAAAGGAGGAACTAATCAGGTGATGTGATGATAAAGTCAACTGCGAAGAACAGTGTGGGCACAGGTACAGTTGGTAGTTTGAAGCTTTTGAGTACTCAAAATGATGAAATTCGAATCACCTATTTGGCAAAGCTGTTCCATTAACATGTTAATAATGGGGCTCGTTTAATGATAGTGAAGCTAGTTTTCGCGTCTCCAGACTGCCTTTCGAGTGGCCATGGCCATGGGATAGTTTTAAGTCAATAAACAAGAACACTATCTAAAAAGAATTAGCAGTTTTTTTCCAAAAACGTTCGGCGGAGGTCTAGCTTATTTCTTTCAATGTGGTAGAGGCAAACTTCTCATTTTTTTTTAAGAATAAAAATTAGTCTTTACTTCCTCTCCGGAATTAACATTTTGCAAAGTTAACTAACCAGACCTAATCTGCAAATCAATAAATTAAATCTTTAATTTGTACCAAATTACAAATTATTTGTACTCACGTTGTTACTTGTTGCGTCATAATCCTCTAAAGGCATGTTCAAGAAGTAGCTTGGATCTGGCAAAGCTTGTGGTTTTGCGTCTTCGGAGCCATCTGTGTTGCCTATCTCTAGAGCTTGGGAATCGGCTTCACATACCGCTAAGGCGTGTATCTCCGCAAGGTCCGCCAAACTAGCAAACGTCACCACCTTCTTTCGCCGTCGAGAGCTCACTGCAGATTTCTCATCAGGGGCAACCACGTTAATCGTGGGGATGTGCTCGTCATCCTCGTCCCTGGTCATATTGGTAGGTTGCAAATTGCCGACCCAAGACATGAACCCCGTGTCTGAGCGACCAAGATGGAGAAGAGAGATGGAAATCATGATATTAAATTGATTATACGATTAGATACCCATTTCGCGTTTATTTTCGTTTAGCTAATCGGCCAGCGCTATATGTCCTATATCTGTGACTGTTACACCTCGTTTAAGTGCTACGATGCGTTTACAAGCACGAATACAAGAAAAGGTTATGATTTGATACAACGTAAATACTAATGCAAAAAACTTGATCACAAATTTCTCCAGTTCATGTAATGGCGTTTCTTTTGGGTTTCTACAATGTGGACACCGCCAATTGGAGCACCGCCATATGCTTATTATTATTCTTGTTGTTATTTTCAAATTTCGAATAAACTCTACGAATAACTTATACGTGGTTTGAAATATCACCCGGCTAGGAATACAATATGCACGCATAATCAGAATATATGCCATTTATCACATGTAGAAACATTTGTATTTGCATTATGGTCAACTACATGTGGCCCGAACGCGTTATGTTTCACTGAGGAAAATTAATTTTGAGAACAATGCTTTCGAAAAAACAACCACTGTCGTGAAACTGACACAACCGTAATTTGCCAAATTGCATTAATTACTAACTGAAAGAGACCAAAGTATCGACTTTGAAGTTATGTTTAAAACACAAATTCTGGTGATACATTAGGTCAGCGAATTTTATGATACATCGCGATCTCATTGAACCAAGACCTAATTAAATGCACTTAATTAAATATATTGTATATTAATTAAACTCCTTAGCAAATTTATTATTTTTATTCAAAGACATCAGAATTAGAGAATTTTAAAATAATTGGGAAAGCAACCTGTGAGGCAAAAGAAAGTTACATATAAGCTAGCATTTATTCCGCTAATCTATGCCGTTGAGAATATTTTTTGTTATATGCCTTTCTCAGCAATAATGTAAACTCCAAACAGACAGCCCCCTAAAAACATGATTTCAATAGCCCGGTTATTAAATTTGCGTCTTTGACTTGCTTATTCACTACGTACTTTCTCGTAATAATGATTTCTCGTGGACGATAAAAATTGTTCCCCACCTTGGCTAGTCAAAACAGAATTTCAAAGAGTGTCGTGCAGAATTGACCAAGGTCGTAATAAATTGAAAATCTGAAATTTCTTTATTGTTGCAGCTGGTGTACCTGGTGTGAGCTGAGCTGTATTATTTAGCCATACCTGACAGGAGATCAGAAAAAAATTAAATGAAAAATCTTTCAAGAAAGATTTAGTGGCCATAAAGGGTTTAAAATTTTATAGCTAGCAAAAACATCTGGTTTGGAATCGTTGATATCCTGCTTACGAGTGAGAGATCGAAAGACAACTAGGGAATTTCTCGTGAGTACGTACGTTTGTCCATGTTGTGCGCATGTTACCGATTCAAACTTTAATGTGATTGTAACGTTTCAGACAGCCACATTAACTCACAGGAACAGAACTCATTCGGAAACTTTGCCCAAACAATCAACTCATAACAGTATTCGTCGAGCGCTGGGGACTCAACAGCCTCGGGTAGGTGTTACTGAAGTAACGAGGGTGTTTAAAGTGAACTATAATGTTATAAATGAACCGATAAAATATATCTACAAGACACGATAGCGATATTGATTACCGCGTTTTTAGTAGTTGATTTATAAATTGTTGAGTACCTATATGGTTTAGAAGTCAGTTGCAGCAGATAATTATAAATATATGAGATATCTTTTGAAACATAATAAGCCACCGGTTTCTATATGACGAAAATAAAAGCTTTCGGTGTTGCGGTTTTAGCAAAAGAGAAATACGAATATTGGCGAAAGAAGTAGCCAACGAACATAATATCAGAGTAGCAGTATTTCAGTTCTCCAAAAAATGTTGTTTGTAAAATCTTTCGTCACAACAGCAAATAATTAAACGAAGATTAATTTTAAAGTTGCTCTGTTCTGAGGTAAAAGCTGATTTGCTGGAGCGGTTCACAACTACTTCTTATAGCGAACAACGTGAGTGCCGTCATTTAACGGGTGGTTTGATGAATAGCGCATGCAGGATTTGCTAACATTGCATTCTATAAAAATGCAAAACTATTACCAGTAAAATCCTGAAAAAAAAAAAAAATCAGTTTTTAACAACTTCTTGTTTTAAAAAAAGGACAAAAGAAGAAATGACGGAACACTTCAATCCGAGCATCAACTTCAGTTGTGGCCTATAAACAAAAAGGACTAATTGATATGGAAATTGTTCATGGCCGATTGAATTGTTGACATGCATGAATCAAATCGACAAGTAGCTGCTCCGCTGTAATGTACATGTAAACCCTGAATTCCAGAACAGAAAATTGAAAGATATCAAAGAAGATAAACTTACATGTAAACTGCCGTCAAGACTTTTAACAGTAACGCTATTGCTCAGTCTTATCGTTCTGAGCAATATCGCGAGGACTCTGATATTACTAAAGGTTTTGATTCCTTTTTTCAAAGTAATTAATCACTGTCTAACAATTTCGTGTCACATCGCATTTAATAGTCACATTTACATATCCGCTGACTCAGTCAAACCTCAAAGAAGGTTTTTAATGTTTTTGTAATGTCTTATTCAATTTCACTTGGTTAACAAGAGCAACTACCGCCATTTCATGTTTGTTTACACAAGAGGATTAACTAAGGAGCCAAAAATCCCCCATAAGCCCTAATAGCTATGAGCCCTTAAGCCTATGTCTCGTTTAAAGTATTGCTTCCGATGGGGTTGGTGAACTTAACATCGAAGGTTCCTAGAAGATATGAATCTCATTCCACTGACTGGGAGGTAAAGTCAGACACTCTTTGCATGGACTGGTAAACTATGAGTATGAATGTAACAATCCTTCTTGTTTTTTTTTGTTTTTTGTTGTTGTTGTTGTTGTTGTTGATTTGCATTGTTTTGTTTCTTTTGTAATTTAATTCAGTTTCACTTGGTGAACAAGAGCAAATACTAGCTTTTCATTTTTTTTATTTCTACGGGAGGATTAACCAAAGAGCCAAGAATCCACAATAATCCCTCAGTCACGAGTATATTTCGTTTAAAGTATTACTTCCGATTATTAAGTTTGAGGTTTAAGAAATTAATATCGAAGGACTCAATGGAGATATGAATCTCATTCCACCGACTGAGCCGATGTAAAGCTAGACACTCTACACGCATGGACTGGTAAACTATGAGTATGAATTTTTGTTTTGTTGTGTTTTGTATTTGTAATTTAAACGCAGAGAGAGCCTGGCGACCAAAATCCATATAAAAACTATCTATCAATTCAATATTTAAGAATTTACTTAGTTTTGTTAGAAATTTGCTTCTTACACAATAATGCAGGTGGACAAGTCTCGAAATATGCATCAAAGCTAATTTCACCGATATATGAAATAAAAAACAGCGTTTGATCCAATAAAAAAACACAACTCTCCAAATATAATACATAGCATGATATGAACAAACAATAATGGTCAAAAATCTGTGTTATTATCCGTGCAAGGTCCTTTGATGGGATTATCTTCAGCTGTTTACAGGGATTTTTTTCCAATTGAAATTCTATCTCATATCAATCCAAAAATATTATCTGTCTCTCCTCTTCTTCATTCCAATAAAATGGCAACCTAAGTGAAGATTTTACAACAGTTGAAAATTTGGTAGAGCTTAAACGTATTCTTGCAAATAACAATTTTCACTATTAAACTATCAAAAACGGGCGAAAAAATAAAATTTTGTAAGGATTAATGGGTTTTGGTTTTTCTAAATGTGAAAGCAGGCATGTCACTCAAAAGCCATGTTAATATAAAACAGAATACAGATAAATCTTTTGCCTAACAAAAAGACGGACTTACGTGCAAATAATTAAACAAACAAACAAACAAATATTGTTAAGCGTTTAGTACACGGTCACGTGTACTCTGGTAGGAATTATACAATCCCTCGTGTGGCACAACGAACTCACAGAATTTGTATTATCAATTTGCAGTACGTTTATTTTAGAGCTTTGTCTAACCGACATGCCAGCTGAAGTGTTCAGCTATATCCCCGCAAGGTTTCATCCAATTAATTCAACGTCCGTGAAAACATCACCGCCAGATCCATTCCATTCAAAGTAATTTAAACCCCGAAAACGCTCATGTAAGGCTAGGCCCAATATGTTTAAGTGACTTCAGAATTGGCAGCTTTCAGTTATAAGACATCCGGCTTACGTTTCACTTTCCACTTATTCTGCACTGCAAGGAAAGTATATTTTCCGTTGAACTTTTTTAACATTTGCACCTGTTAAGATGGGTAGGCTTGAGTGTTTTGACTATTGTATTCTCTTTTTCGCGAAGCTAGCAAAAAGATGAGATAACGCCGCCATAAATAATTTAAAAAGCTGTCGATTAATAGTTTGAAACAGGCGCATCGATAGAGATAACAAATTGATGTACTGTATCTCTTGCACGTGGTTGGTCAAGCGGTCAAACAAGCACCGATAAGCCTGAAATAATGCCGAATATTTAATTCATGTTGCCCAACAAATAGTTGGTAACATCTACTCCTTAAAGATTTCACTTGTGACCATATCAGTATTTTGGGTGAATTCAGACTAGAGAACGATCTGTAAAAACCGTGCAGCTTGGACATGGGCGCTTCGCTTCAGTTTTATGTAGGAATTTTAGTCGATGTAATATATTATACCGTATCCGGCAGGCAGGCAGGCAGATGATAGAGTGTTGATTAATTAAGAAGAGTCCCTCCGTGAGCCATTTAGTAAGACGTTATTACATACCCGCTAGGTACAGGTAGCAATACAAGTAAATTGATCGATCGATCTTTGAATTTTACCTTCGCTTTGATTTCCGTGTTATTCCAGTGGCACGGATGAAGAGAGCCGAAGAGCCGAAGACTCGCAATCATATGCTTTCAATATTTAGACATTTTACAAAAAGTATGGTATATTTGGCCTGCAGCACGAAGTGACTAAGACCAGAACTTATTCAATTGTGCCACAGAGTATTTGTTTGGGCGTTATATAGTACCGACAACACGCCATGAAACTGCCATTTATCAAATCGTTGCGCTAAAATAAAAGTCCTAAATGCTATTTCAAATGCTTGAAAACCGATTAACTATATTTACTGGCGAGTGCTAGAAACCCATGCAACCTTTGTTAGTAAGTTTCTCAGACGAGCAATTCAAACATATCGTAAAATTATTGCTCTGCATGACCTGACAATTATGTCGCTTTTAAATTGGCCCCAGACCGTGAAAAGAACGATTAATTTGACCTGTAATGCCAAATAGTCCTGAATTGTCACGCTTTATAGAGAATGTTTGGGGTTAAGAAATTTTTAGTTGCTAATATTGACAGATACATACGCAAAGAGAATCACTAAAGTGT